TACAAAGAGAGAAGAGCCAAGAGGTCTACCATCTTTGAGACCTAGCTCTCAAAGATGGTAAGCTGTGGGAAAAGAGATTTAAGTTTGTAGACAAGTGCTGTGTCTAGCTATAAATCAGTGAACCAAACTTAAGAAAAATAAATTTACCCCTGCTCCATACATTCAGCTTTTCATTAGTATACTCTGAACAATGCACTGAAGCAAAGGAAAAGGCACCTCTTTCATTCTAACTGAACAAGGATGGTACTTCAAAAGTTGCCAATATGCTAAATTGGTGGTTCCTTCCTAGACTGAGAAACTGGCAAGGCATTAATTTGTCTGAGATCCTTAACAGTACACTAAGCAAACAGAAAGGTCAAACACATGTCTCACCAGCACATAAACTGATCTGTCAAGTGTTCATAGATGCTATTTGATCAGGAAAACACAAGTCATTTAAATTATTATTAGACTCATATTGACTTTGCTCAAGTAGTTTATCAAAGTATAAGAATTCATTAGAAAGTTTTTAAATTAAAGAGAGCTCTAACACTCAAAAGTTTAGGAACGCCTTTGCCTACAAAGAAAAAAGAAAGTATAAAGGATTTCTTGCAAATCCTATGCCTGAGGATTTGTTCACTTCAACATACTATTTTTTAAACATATTTTTATTGATTTCAGAGAGGAAGGAAGAGGGAGAAAGTTGGAACCATCAATGATGAGAGAGAATCATTGATCGGCTGCCTCTTGCACACCCCCAACTCTCACTCTCCCCCCCCCCTCACACACACACACACACACACACACACACACACACACTCTCTCAATAGGTCATCTGCCTATCCAAAGTGCCACACACACACACACACACACACACACACACACACACTCACTCAATAGGTCATCTGCCTATCCAAAGTGCCAGTACCAGTACCTCACTTTTGAGACCAGCAACCCAAAGCACTGGTTCTCCTACTTCATCTGGGAGTGGGGAGGGGTTTATTCAAAGTAAGTTTACAGTTGTGAATACAGAAAACAGAGTTTATTCTTGGATTATTATTTATTAACTGTTGTATTATCTTCTATACGCGCAACTATAAACCTACTTTTGTCCCACCCTGTATAGAATGCAAAGCCACAAGCCAATGCAGCATTCAGGTGACTGTAATACATACAAAGTTTTAAGAACCTCTGGCATACAGGATAAACTCTCCAAGTATGTCATCTACCAGTAAAATCTCCTTTCCTGATACTCCTCCACCTGACTGGACTCTTCAGCAATAAATACTTAACTAGTTGAAGTTCACACAGGTTTTGCACATACTATTTTCTGTGCTTGGAGCCCTAACTCAACACCATGACCAACCCCATCTTGTTCAACAAACTTACACTGATCTTCAAAAGTCTCAACTCCAGGTCTTGCCGATTTGGCTCAGTGGATAAAGCCTCAGCCTGAGGACTGAAAGGTCCCAGGTTCAATTCTGGTCAAGGGCCTGGGTTGTGGGTTCGATCTCCAGTGTGGGGCATGCAGGAGGCAGCCAATCGATGATTCTCTCACATCATTGATGTTCCTAGCTCTCTCTCCCTCTTGCTTCCTCTCTGAAGTCAATAAAAATCTATTTTTAAAAAAATAAATTAATTTTTTTTAAAAGTCTCAACTCCAGCTTCCTGTCAAACCTTCCCTTACTTCCTGGGACAGACAGTTCTTTGCTCCTAAAGTACCTTTCACCTTTTTAGCAATTACCTCACACAATAGAAGACAGGAACCATGTCATTTCACATTTGTATCACCAAAGACCTCACACAATGCCTGACACATAATTTAATTTTTTTTATATATATGCTGAATAAAGACATAAATGAGAAGCAAATAATATTGGCTATTCAAAGTTAAAAGCTGTCATACCGACTTCCGGCAATAACCAAAGATAATCAAATCAAGAAGGGAAAGCAACCATCCTTTATAGAATATCTGTAAGCATTTTACAGGGTATTTCTCATACCAAGAATAATGCTGTGTGAAGAGCTTAATGAGGGAAAAAGGAGTACCTATGTAATACTTTCAACAATAAAGATTAAAAGGATCAACCGAAGGACTTGTATGCATGCATATGAGCATAACCAATGGACACAAGACCCTGGGGGGCATGGGAGGCTAGGAGAGGGTCAAGGGGAGAAAAAAAAGGAGACATATATAATACTCTTTGTAATACTTTAAGCAATAAAACAATTAAAAAACAAAAAAATAGCAAAAAAAATAAAATAAAAAATAAAGATTAAAAGGAAAAGTAAAAAGGTAAAAAATAAAAAAGAATGCTGCAAAGCAGGCACTATTCCCCTTTTACAGTCTCAACTCACTTGGCTAAACTTCAAAATTTGAAATGGTTATGCTAGAATGTGCCACTGAATCTAACTGCAAATCTTTCTAATGAAAGTCTTAAAAAAACCATAACATTAAAATAAGCACCATTAAAGGGCAAACTATTTACTCACATTTACTTAGAAACCAGCCACAATTCTGATTCAAAAAGCCAAGAAGACCATGTGGTACCTGGAGTTAGTGTCCAAAATTAGATAAATTTCCCCAAAGGATGACCTCTGAAATATCTGTCAGATCTAGAGTTCTACATGGTTCACATATCAATACATTAAAAATAAAATAAAAAACAGGAAAAAGTTTAATCTTACTTATGCAAGTATAAGGAAAGGTGACACTTTAAATGCTTGTCTCCTGATTAAGAGGCAAACCTTTAATGTTCTATGGCTAGATTGCCCCCCAAAGATTCCCTTTCCCCACTTAATGTCACTGGTCTGATAATTTAGCATGATTTTCTATTAAGTCAAAGTGAATAGCTACTAAATTAGCTCTTCCCACTAGGTATCAGCACAATGATGGATCCTTTTTTTAAAAAAGGTACACGATTTTATATGCATAACAGAGAACACATTCTTGTCAGTTATGTGTGTGCATAATCATAATTTTTACAAATGTACTTCAAGACTCCTCTATTCTGGTAAACTTTCACCTCTTCTCCACTGAAAGGATGCACACCAAGGGCCCACTTAGCGCAATGAGTTATGTCTTAAGAAGACCAGTTTATCATTTCTTATAGCTCATTAATACAAAACTACAACAAACTTCATTTTTTGTATAAGGGATATTAAGGGTAATTGAACAACTTGTTCTAGCCAAATGAATCCCTTGAAATCAGGACATTTCTCTTTTTGCACAGACGTATAAAAACTGCTTTGGGGAAAAGGAAGGAAGCTGGAACATGAACAAAAAAAAATACTAATTATACTTATTTGTATATCTGTCTTCTCCACTAGACTGTGAACTTTGAGTGCAAAAAAAGTATAGCTATAACAATTTATACTACTATTTCCCCAATACTAAAGTTAGTGTACAATGAAGAGGGAAGCCATGCAGACCAAGATTATCCATAAATGATAATAAAAGTAGTCATTTTATTGGAGAAAAACATTTCCACCATTTTCTCTGTCCTAAAACAATGGCATTCTAATAAAAAAATATTTTACTTCACCCAATGAAGAATTTTATGACACTGTGATATGCCTTCCTACATCTTTCCAAGGACTGAAACTGTCACAGATCCCTAATTGGTGACACAATTAAATTGGAGAATATACTGCCCCAGTTTTTTTGTTGTTGTTTTTTTTTGGGGGGGGAGGGGGGTATTCATTTTATTTGTTGATTTGAGAGAGGGAAAGAGAAAGAGACATCGATTTGTTGTTTCACTTATTTACACATTCACTGGTCGATTATTTTACGTGCCCAGACCAGGATTCAACCTGCAAGGGGATCCAGGTGCAACCTTGGGAGTATCAGGACCTCGCTCCAACAAACTCAGCTGCCCAGCCAGGGCTCTGTCCCAGTTTTAAAAGCAGCACAGATTAAGGAAGTAAGAAGGCGCTCCAATGGATGTACAAATGATGACCAGTTCATTCAATTCCATTCAACAAGTACTTACTAAATGCATAGACCTGTGAGAAACCGGGCCAACAAGTACAGCAAGATAGCAAAAAAGGAAAGTTGACGGCAAAAGTAGCCTCACATTAACCCAGAGTCACTTAATTCAAAACTATCCTTTAATGTCTGCCTTTTTAAAACTAAGTGCATCCCAGTTATTTGTTCCCAGTCAGCAATACTGTGGCTCCGGTTGCCATTTTTACAAGATCAAAAGCTTGAAAGATAAATGCCCAATACTTTAGAGACTTTTTTCATTAATTCGACGGCATAATGGGGAACCGAATGCAATTCTGCAACTGTCTTTCTAAAAGTCAACTTTATTTTTCATTGATTACAAACAAAAAAGCTTACAAATTCCCACTGGGCAAGTGTGCCAACCGATTCCATTTCCTATAACCTTATCTCGGAAACCAGGCCCCCCCCCCCCCCCCGGAAACGTAACGCAGAGCCCTCTGGCCTGACCTGTGCGCAGTGCCTTCTAGACCAGTCCCCAGGGCACCCGCAGCCTAATTCCGGCGACCTTCTCCGAGCGATTTAAGGAAGTCGGCACTCGCTCCTCTCACGTGATCTTTAAAAGGGGCGCAGTGGAGCCTGTAGCGAACCACACTCCCTTTTCTGCATCAACTTCGCTGCCCAGCATAAAGGAAGTGGGCAGGGAGGCGGCGCGGGGCCGATGTGCAGGGGAAGCCGGCAAACAAATGTGGGCTGCGGTGCCTGCTTGTATTTGGGAGGAGCGGGGCGCTAAGGCACGCCGCTCACGCGCACTGCAGCGGCTGAAAACCGAAGGCTGCCCCTCACACCCCCGCAGCCTGGGCACGGCTTCCTTCGCTCTCCCTCGGGGAGAAAGGGGGCCCCTTCTACCAAATGCCCCACCAGCAGGGTCCTGCCCAGGCGCCCCAGCTCCCCGACGCGCACCGCCCTTGGGCCCGCGCGGGTGGGATTGGCGCTGGTGGGCGGCAGAGGCGGGGGGAGAGCCGCGGCGACCGGCGGCCGGCGCATGCGCAGACAGGGTACCCGCCCGTTCACCTACCGTTGGAACCGCGACGCCCCGTTCCCCGGCCGCGGCCGCTTCTCCAGGACCCGCGGGGACGGGAGGAGGACGAGAACTGAGGCCTCGAGCGCGTCCGCGGCCGGCAAGCCTCTTCCGAAGACGGCCGCTGGCGAGGGTCTAAAGCGGCGGCTGAGGCACGGGGCCAGCCCGATAAGCAACCCCCGGATGTCCCCGGCGGTGGCGGCGGCGGAGGCGCGGGAGAGGGGGCGGGAGCGGCGACGGTGGCGGCAGCTGAGGCGCAGAGCCTCCCTAACGGCAAGCGGGAGGAGCGCGGAGGGCGGAGGGCGGAGGGCGGCCAGGGGCCGGGCCGGACGTGACGTACGTGGGAGGGACGGGCGGGGGCGTGGCTTGCGCGCCGTGAGGGCGGGGATACCCCCAGCCCCAAGCCGCCGGCTCCGGGTCTGCGGGCTTCCGAAACGCGTTGCTTCTCTCGAATTCGGGCCCTGGATTGGGGTGCGAGAAGCCGGGCGCGGGCCTGAGGGAGGCGTCTGGGGCTCCTCAGTCTGGGGAGGGGCTGTAGGAAGGATAAGGACCGGTCGCCGGAAGACCGAGGTCGCGCCTGGGCTCTGCGGGGGATGGGGGGAGGGGGTCGTGCCCCCCTACAAAGGCCAGAATGACCCGGGTGCCCTTGTCCAAGTTAGGAGCACCGAGTCCTTCACGGAAAACCGCGGGCGGACCGAGGCAGTGACTCACGCTCCTAGTCCCAGAACGGGGTTAGGTCGGGGACCAGGGCCGCCTCCCACCTGCCTCCTCACGTGAGGACGTGGCCCAGACTCTAGAGCAGTGGTTCTCAACCTTCCTAATGCCGCGACCCTTTAATACTGTTCCTCATGTTGTGGTGACCCCCAACCATAAAATTATTTTCGTTGCTATTTCATAACTGTTATTTTGCTACTGTTATGAATCATAATGTAAATATCTGATATGCAGGATGTATTTTCATTGTTACAAATTAAACATCATTAAAGCATAGTGATTAATCACAAAAACAATATGTAATTATGTGTTTTCCGATGGTCTTAGGTGACCCCTGTGAAAGGGTCATTCGACCCCCAAAGGGGTGGCGACCCACAGGTTGAGAACCGCTGCTCTAGAGAGAGAGCACAGATGCCTCTGAGGCCGAGGGAGTCTGAGAATATGAAAGTCCATAGGCAACGTGTTCACAGGGAGCTTTCTATACCAAACCAGAGTTTGAGAGGCAGACCTGAAATGAGAAAAAAAGAATGGGGAGCACTCTGAGCCTGAGGCGCCTATACTTCATTGCAGCTCCCACACGCTCCCAAAGGTTTGCATATTCAGCCCATCTCTTCTTTGCTTCAGTCTGTTAAGGGCTTAGATGTTCCATTGAGTAGAACGCAATGTTCTGCCTTTGGACGCCCTGGCAGTGGGTAGATCCACACCTACACAAAGAATTCTGGGTGTCTGTAAAAATATAAACCACCACGATTCGCTTGTCCCCTACCTGCCTAGCTGGAAGTCAGTAACCTGGAAAATGTAAAACGAAGAACCCTCATAGAACTTGAGACAATATTTTTTAAAAAAAAGTCACCCTATGAGATGATCTGTAAATGTGTTACAGAGGCCAGGGTGGCTCCCAACTTTCATCAGAGTAAAATAAATAATCTGTAACTTAAGTGTCACATGCCCAGTTAATGCTGTCATAAAAGAAGGGTGGGGTCCATAAAGAGTCTAGAGCCAGCAGAATCTCAATAAGAATGTATTGTGAGCTCCCACTCTGTCCAAGAGAAAGGCTACTGATTCTAATAACCAGGACCAATACCCATGATCAGGACAGTTAAAAAAACTTAATTTGGATCAGTCACACAATCAACAAATATTTACTGAGTGTTTACTAAGTTTTAGTCTCTTAGGATACTTTAGCAAATACGATTCCTGCCTATTTTGGGTTTATATCTAGCAAACTTAAATCCTGAATATTCTTTTAAGAACATATAAAGGCCCCTACTGTGATTCCACACTCATCAAGTAGTCTTCCCATCCCTCAAGGGGTCTCAGAGTAGATCAGCACACCAGTGAGAAACAATTGTCCAAGGCACAGACTGGTTCTAGTTATACTAGCTATACAGTCTTTCTCAATTAATGAATTCACATCATGGTTTATAATCAGGCTTTGTTCACTGGGTTGAATTATAGAGTTGTTTTATCCAAATTAATTTCCCAGAGCCTGATTAAGTTGGAGTGAAGTGAAATGTAAGTTACTATATCTGCCAAACTGAGGACCAGACAGATCCTGGTTTCATAGAAGCCCAATCAGGATGCAGCCTATGCAGTCAGCTTTGCATCTCTCTTTAAACATCTTAAATGGAAGCTTTACCTGTGATTTCATGCTTGAAGAACAGGAGCAAAATAATTGCTTCTAAAGCTTAATCATAATCTAGTAAAAATCATAAGAGAGTAAATTGTTAGAGTAAAAATCCTCCTGAACCTGCCCCGCCTATGCAACATAGGCTCTTGCTGACATAACTGACTATAATAAGTACTTTATTCTGAGTATGGAACCCAAGACTGTAAGTTCCCAGAGGACAAGACTCCCTTGCATTTATATGCCCTACTCCCAACATATGGGAATCTCAAAAAACAAATGAATTGATTTAATGATCATTTTCCTCTGTAAAATTCAAGAACATGTTTTTGGAAGACATTTTTTCCAGATCTTACTTTATAATAGGTAACCAGTATGTTCAACATACTGTTTTTAACTTTTAAAAATAAGACAGAATACCTTTGTTTTTATCTTTTGCCATCCCTTTAAACCTGTGCAGGGGAAGTAGATCTGTCATACACCCCATTCAGTGATAGAAAGTCCTTTGTCATTGAGTCACAAAGAGTGAAACTCTTCCCTCTTATCTAGCTAGGACAGCTAGCTCACTCCTTGCGGTGGAGAGGCATCATGCCTGGTCTGTCTTGCCCTCTTCTAGCTTACCAACCAGACCCAAAGGGAGGGAGAGAGAAGAAAAGAAAGGGAAACAGGAAAGTTCTTAACTTTTATAGGAAGTGGCAGTAAAGTGTTTTGTCCAAACTAAATTAGTGTGACTATTTTCCAATAGATGGCAATGAAGTTTCTGGACAAAGGAGAACATATTTCTGATGGTGCTGTTGAGGGCAGCACTGTATGGTTGATCCACAGCTGGCCCACATGAAGCTCTCACGCGCTTCTTGTCCAAACTGACTTGGGAGGATAGGCCAATCCCAGTTCAGCTTCAGTATTCCTCTGCTACTAAAACACCTGCCAGTCCTCCTCTGGTCCCTCTGTATTTTCCTGGCAGGAGTACACTCAGGTCCACTCTGCCCCTCAAACTGCAAGAGACACATCTCAAGTACCTGAACAATTCCATTTTAGGCTTTTCTCAGCTTGAGGTAAGAGGCAGGCTGGCATCTGAGGTAACAGTCAAACATAGCATACTGGCAACAGTCTCAAAAGGAAAACTCAATATTCTCACTTGACCTTTTATAACTTACTATAAGAATTTAGTCTTATCTACCTGATTTTGTCTAAATCCTCTCATTTATAGGGGAAGTCCATTTTATAACTAACTTTAGTGAAATTTTTTTTTTTTGGGGGGGGGGGGAATCGTTGGGTATTTTGGTCCGGTTCTCCACTGGGATGATTTTTTGTTTTTGTCATGTCTGGAGACTTTTTGGTTGTCAAAACTCAGAAGGGGCTATTAGCATCTTGTGGGTAGAGGTCAAATAAGCTGCTAAACATTCTACAATGCACAGGACAGCCTTCCCTACAACAAAGAATTATGTGGCTGAAAATGTAACTTCATTTTGACATCTTGGAATTTCTATACTTGACAGTCACTATGAGAATACCTCAAAAGTACATCCCTTTTCTTTTTTTCTATAAATTCTTTACCTGTAGATGTAAAAGTGACATTTTAATATATAACTAGTGTCAAAAACAGCATTTTAGAAAAATGTTTGGCCAGGATGAGAAGTGACTGGTATGATTCTAAGACTTCCTCTGGAGGGGAGACCTGCCAGGAAAATTATTATTTTTTTTTTATAATGAGACCACTCATTTATTATAAATACCAGTGATACCTGAATGAAGAAAAGTAAATTTCTCTCTTCCAGGAAAATTATTATTTTGTTTTTTATAACGAGACCACTCATCTATATATATAAAAGCCTAAGTGACTGTTATGACCAGTTGACTGAATGACCAGTCGACCAGGTTGCTATGATGCACACTGACCACCAGGGGACAGACACTCAACGCAGGAGCTGCCCCCTGGTTATCAGTGTGCTCCCACAGCCAGCCTTTCCGCGGCTGGCCAACCTCCTGTGGTCCCTCCCCATGGCTGGCCCTGATCGACCCAGATCGGGACTGGGCAAGGTAGCCCCAATTGGCCCCGATTGCTAGCCAGGCCGAGGGACCCCACCTGTGCACAAATTTGTGCACTGGGCCTCTAGTTTATTATAAATACCAGTGATATCAGAATGAAGAAAAGTAAATTTCTCTCTGCCAGGAAAATTATTACGTGAGGTGATATTTTTATAGCCCAGGGAAACAAACATTTTACCCAACTTATCTGAACAGAGGTTAAGGCCTCTCAGAAGTAAAGTCATGAGTCAAATCACCATGGAAGGAATATATATTTCATGAAATCCCAGACCATGTCCTAGATGCCAGAGAGGACTTCAGTATGCCTGCCTCCCCAGAGTCACCAGTGTCACTGGAATGAGACTTGAAGTCAAGGAGTAGCTCTGTCTTTGCAGTCACTTTACAATTAATACCCTTATTATTCAAAGAGAATGTAAATGGCCTGGCCAGCGTGGCTCAGTGGTTGAGCATCAACCTGTGAGCCAGAAGGTCACGGTTCAGTTCCCGGTCAGGGCACATGCCCAGGTTGCGGGCTCAATCCCCAGTGTGGGGCATGCAGGAGGCAGCCGATCAATGATTCTCTCTCATCATTGATGTTTCTATCTCTCTCTCCCTCTCCCTTCCTCTCTGAAATTAATAATTTATATATATTAACACACACACACACACACACACACACAATGCAAATGGACTTCTTCCCCCCAGCTCCTCACCATAGATTAGTTTGATTGAATTCAGCTCTTCCAGATGTAGTAGGATGTTGAGCCACTCTCTTGTGCCATCAATAAGGAAACTTTCATTATTCCTATGTCTTCCTCTCACTTACTGGTCTCATCTCTGACCAAGGCTATTTGAGTGCTAGCATATAGATTAACTTTTGTTCAGGAGGCTGCTACTATCTTTTTTTTCTTCCTTTTTTGTTTTTTTAATTCTCATCCAAGAACATTTTTTTCCATTGATTTTTAGAGAGAGTGGAAGGGAGAGAGGGAGGGAGGGGAGAGAGAGACAGAGAAACATTAATGTGAGAGACACACATCAATTGGTTGCTTCCCAAACACGCACCCCAACCCGGGCTGCAGATGAACCGGAAACCCAGGTACGTGCCCTTGACTGGAAATCTAACCCAGGACCCTTTGGTCCACAGGCCAACACTCTATCCACTGAGACAAACCGGCTAAGGCTCCATTTATTTTTAAATGAAAATCAACAACTCCCACCCCCAAACTCTTGGTGCTGTTTTTAAAATCTTCTGAACCTCATGAATTACAACAAATACAAGCACACCTCCTCCTTAATTAGAAGCATTTTTACACTGCCCACTCATAAGTGTAGATAGGGATGGGAAAATATATGCAATTTTTGTGGGATGGGTGGGGAAACTCCTCCATAGGGAGAAGAGGTTGTAAGGACTCTGACTTCCACTGAGCAGTAAAATGCTATCAAATTCAATCAAACTCAGTAATTACTTTTCACTTTCTGGAAATACTAATTTCTTCTGAGAAAAAAGAAAGGACTAAAATCCTAACAAAATTTAAGTCTTCTGAGAGAGAAGCAACTCACCATTAGAGAATAGTATTTCTGGCTCTTCTGAGGAATGCAATGGAAATTTGTCTGTGTCACTTTCCCCCAGATCACTGTGTCAGTGTGCAAGAATGCATGTTTTTCATAAACAAAAAATATATATATACTAGAGGCCCAGCGCACGGAATCGTGCACGAGTAGGGTCCCTTGGCCTAGCCCGCGATCAGGGCCATCTTTCACCCAGCTCTCCAGTCCCCAGTCCCATCCCGCCGCCACCCACCCAGTTCTCCGTGGTTCCCCGTTCGCCATGCTGTGATCGATTGGAGTCTGTGGGCTGGGAGGTTGCGGGGGAGGCAGGGAGGGACTGAGAGGTGGTCAATGCACCTCATAGCGACTGCTCAAGCAGTCATTCCAGTCATTATGGTCACTGGCCCTTTATCATATAGTAGTACTAGCTGCAAAGAGAAGAAACTGTTCCAGGGTGTACAAATCCCATGCCAACATCAAAATAATGGCAAATACTGTTCTGATCTTAGCAACCCGAAGTGACCTTTATACAATTTATTTATTCAACACAAATTTCTTGCGTAACTGTTAAGGGCCAGGCACTATGTTAGGGGACATAATCATGATATTTGCCCTGAAAAAGCTTCATCATACATATCTCTGGAAGAGAAATGTTTTTGAAATAGAACCATAGTTAACATAATGTTGATTTCAGCTTCTGTATTCACTCACACAGCCATTGGTGCCATCCAGTTTGGGGAACTGGAACAATTGACAGTAACTGTCATCTTTGCCAAGTCTACATTTTTGGCCTGATAACTCAAAATTCAGTGTATGACAATAACATAAACCAATGAGATTGTCAGCTATAAGACTAAGTTGTTTGGAGTTCTTTATTAAATCCTATAGTCAGCTAGATAATTTTTCTACAATCAGAACTTTTATTGTTTAAAAAAAAGAATAGATGTCCATTTCTTCCCTTCCCCTATATCCATGTTAAGGAAAGAAAAAGTGCTCAGAGACTCAATGAGACATTCACAAAACCATGGGCCTTCCACTGCCTCTTTAGCCAGAAATCCAGGTAGGAGGGTCTTGCTCTTGTCATTCTGCATATCCTACCTCTTCATTAGAGGCTTTAGGCTTTTTATCCTTCCTACCTTTTTAAAAAATATGTGTTTTTATTGATTTTTAGGGAGCAAGGAAGGGAAGGGAAGAGAGAGAAACATCAATGTGAGAAAACACCCATCTGCTGCCTCCTGCACACCCTCATCCCCCCCCCACCCCCCCCAACGAGGGTTGAGCCCACAACCCAGGCATGAGCCTCGACTGAAAATCCAATCAGTAACCTTTTGGTGCACAGGGACAAGGCTCAACCAACAGAGTCACACTGGCCAGGCTGGCCTTCCTACCTTTGGACCAGCCAAGCTCCTTCTCAAACTCCTGTCATTGGGCCCACGCCTTCTATGGCAAACAAACAGCCCATATAATTGCAGATTGCAATCTATGTGCAACCATATTTTTGCTAAATATTTACACTTGACTGCTCTTATTCACTAAAGACAAGGGTGTGATGATTTGCAGAAGCATTTAGTGTTTTCCCAGTCCCAAGCTCATCAGCAGAGAAGCTCTAAAGCATGAAGGCTCACACCCTTTATTTTAGGCTTTCATAGTGAAAGAGAAACCAAACTGTGAGAAGTGTTATAGTTATTATGCATGTGTCTTATTACCCCTCTTAGCTTGTGGCACTGTCTGAATTCTAAATAAGTATCTTGCCAAAAACTGTAAAAACAGTTGTTGAAAAAGAAATGGCAAGGTTTAACCAAATTTGTTGTTATTTAATAAGATTTTGCTATTTGTTTCTTCTTGTTGGCTTTATAATTTCTTTCTCCATCTGGAAAACTTTGATACTTCTTAGTTATTCACACACTTAAGATTTTATTGAGCACCTAGTTATGTGCCAGGTACTGTGTTAAATGCTGGAAACACAGTAGTGAACACACTAGACATGATTCCTGCCTTCTGATAAACACAAGTTATTATTCCTGTTGCATGGCTAACTCCTGCTTATTGTTCAACAAGCCCAAATTCAGCTTAAGTGTCCTAAGTGTCACTCTATCTGGGCAGCCTCCATGACCTTATCTAGGTTAAATAAGGCATCCCTATTCTCCAGTCCTCTGGCATCTTGCCCATATATCACATTGGCAACTTCCCCAAAACTAAGATCTCTGAAGGGCTATATCCTCAGTGGGAGAACAAGAAAAAAACCTGACCTACAGAGGGAAAGGGTAAGGATATCTGACTATCTTCACGTTAACTGTGGATGGAACAGAAGAAAACAAGTCTCCTCTGAAAATTCCTAAACAAGTTCCCAAGCATACTATGGGGGGCCAGAATTTCAGACTGTCTATGTGACCCAGAAAACCCTGAGCTGATAATCATAAAGGTGATCACTTTAGTGCCCCCAGGCACCCTGTATAAGCAAAAGTAAATCCTTTCTGAAAATCCTACAGGTAAGGTTCCAAGAAATATGACCTTATAATAAATTATCATCAAAAACACAAGGATATAATGAACTTCAGAATACCTGCAATGACTGCAAGTATTCTAGTTCAGATTCAGAATATAAAGTATGTGTGATATTGTGATATAATAAGAAATATGGCCCTAGCTGGTTTGGCTCAGTGGATAGAGCATTGGTCTGAAGGGTCCTGGGTTCAATTCCATTCAAGGGCAAGTGCCAGGGTTGCAGGCTCGATCCCCAGTAGGGAGCGTGCAGGAGGTAGCCATCAATGATTCTCTCTCATCGTTGATGTTTCTATCTCTCTCCCCCCCTCTCCCTTCTTCTCTAAAATCAATACAAAAAAATTTTTTTTAATATTTTTTAAAGCTATGTGTATTTTGTCTTTGTCCCAGATCCCTAGCACAGAATATTCTGTTATTCATAACAAGTCCCTTTCCATCACACCTAAAGAGGTGACTTAAGGCGTGGCCCCTAGATAGCCTCAGGATGGGGCGGATGCCAGAAAGACCAAAGGATTGGAGGGTTGTAACTTTCAGCCCCACCCTTGACTCCCAGTGAAAGGAGGAGAGTTCTGTAAAAACAGCCTTCAGAATCTAAAAGGGCAAGGAAATGGAGTCTCCCCTGAAGGCCCCCTAGATTTTCCCCTAGAGCCCAGATTTCAGCCCAGTGAGACCCAAATTAGACTGTGAGATCATAAATTTGTGTTGTTGTTGTTGTTTTGGAATAATTATAGATTTACAGAAAAGTTGCAAAAAGAGTATTCAGAGTTCCCAGATTCCCTTAATACTAGTACTTAAGCCTTTTTTTAAAAATAGACCAGCCCGTTAGGGAGTTCAGTCAGAATATTGTCCTGATTCACTAGGTTACAGGTTTGATAAGAGCATATACAAGAGGCAACCAATGAATGCATAAATAAGTGGAACAACAGATTGAAGTCTCTCTCTTCCAAATCAATAAAAGAAAAAAATAGACTTAGAACAGTTTTAGGTTCACAGCAAAAATGAGGAGAAGCTACAGAGACTTACCATATAGCCTCACCCCCCTCAATATGAATGTGTGTTGCTTTAAGGCCATTACATTTGTAGCAGTTTGTTAGAACAATTAAAAAAAATAATACAATGACAAATGGCATTTCTAGGAGAAAAAAAGAGAGAAGTAGATTGTTTAAAGTGCTAAAGAAAAACGAGAGAATAATTAATCCAAAATTGAGTATAACTGTTAGTTCCAGTGAAGGTATGGGGCATGTTGGTGGGACACCGCAAGACAGGGCTGCACCAACTTCTAAGTTGCTTCTGTGGGAGCTAGAAAAAGGACCATTCTCTGGGCAGATGAATTAGAAAATGACAGCCCACAGCCTAGCAGCAGACAGAGTCTTTGTACCCCAAGAGACCTCCCTTCCCTTAGCAGGGACCTCTGTGCAGTGCACAACTTGCACCCACCACAGTGCTGGCAGCCCCACCACAGACCTTCAGGGGGTTTGTAATGTTTTGCTTCTTATACTGGGTGGAGGATACATGGATTCGTTTTTCAGAATTATCCTTCAAGCTATGTATATACATTACATACTCTTGTATAAATATTGTTGCCAATTTTAAATGTTAAAATATCAGCAACGTGATGAAATGTAGGGCCATTCCCCTCTGCATACAATCTAAAAATCAGCAAGTTCTGAGTGATGTTTTTCTTAACTCCACGTAATCTCTTTTCAGAGTTGGAGTAAGTTACCCTTGAGCAGGAAAACAGGATTTCCCTTCTTCCAGCCCATCCCTATCTTAAATAAGAGGTTGTGTCTGTTTTCTCACCCAGATATTATACACAGTGGTAGGAGCGGAATGTGCAAACTCCAGAGAAGTTGGTGGGCACCTGTAATCCAAAAAAGCTCCCTGAGACCTAAAGCGGAATTTCATTATTAGGAATCTGGCCTGTCTGATAAAATCAGACATGCTGACTCAAGAGGAAACAGAGATATCAAGAGTCTTAGATTCTGAGAAACTGCAACTCTGAGTTCACCTTGACCCTTCCAAAGAAGTCCAGGACCTTTCTTTAATTTTTTTTTTTTTAACAGAGCACTTTGGGTAGACAGATGGCTACCGAAATACCTCTCTCTTGCTCCCAGACAGTCCTGCCATCTTCAGAAGGGTCACTTGGGTTCACTGGTCCAACAATCCAAGCCGCAAACCATGAAGAGGAAGTTTTGCTTCTTACATACGAGCTCTTCCTGCTCTTCCGGACCTAAGTAAGATGTGCTTGGCTCTATCCAGCTCTTATGTTGGCCCTACCATAAATAAGTACTCAGAGAGGGGTTGAGAGATGTCTAATTTATACCACCACCCTTTATAATTTAATTTCATATATATTAACTCCTCACTTACTAGTAACATCATCAATAGGTTCTTTAAGAAAAATTAGGCATAATGAAACCAATTTTACCATAGACTAGTTGACATTAACAAGAGTTAAGTTCCTATGGCTATTTCTGGTCACAAAAACATCACCAAACTTCTAAATAAAGATCCAAAAACCTTCTAATATTAAATACTGAAATAAATGTGAGTTATACATACATTTAAGAAAGATAAATAAAAACAAGTAGAATCATTATTTTCCAACCTGCTATTGCAGTTTAAGGTCACGAGTGGTCAGAGCCTGTCCCGGCAGATCAGGGTGCAAGGTGGGAACCCACCCTGGACAGGATACCTTGCATTGCAGGGCCACTCACACACAGACCCCACTCAATCAGACGGGGACAATGCGGACATGCCAGTTCACCTCATGTGCATATCTTTGGGATGTGGAAGGAAATTGGAGTACCCAGAGAAAAACCATGCAGACATGGAGAGACCTGCATGCTCTATACACACAGTGGCCCCGGTAGGAATCCATTTTTTTCTCATCAATGTTATAAAATGACATTGAACAAAATGATATTATTTGAGGAACCACTGTACAAAAATAATATATAGTCATCAGGAAAATTCAAAAAATGTAGAAGACTAAAGAATAAAAAGCAAAACTCTCTCTTTACCTTGTAATCTTACTCCCTTTACTAAAGCTAAACTTTATGAGATACTAGAGGCCCGGTGCACAAAATTCATGCACTCTGGGAGGGGGGTCCCCTTAGCCCAGCCTGCGCCCTCTCACAGTCCGGGAGCCCTCGGGGGATGTCTGACTGATGGGGAGCGGGTCTCAGCTGACAGTTAGACATCCTTAGCACTGTTGCAGAGGCGGGAGAGGCACCAGCGTAAGCCCAGCTTCTGGCTCACTGACCACCAGGGGGCAGCTCCTGCATTGAGCGGCTGCCCTCTGGTGGTCAGTGCGTGTCATAGCAACTGGTCATTGTGCCATTTGGTCAATTTGCATATTAGCCTTTTATTATAGAGGATATCCTCCCACACCTCTTTTCACACAATTATAAAATGCACACACTCACAATTATTTTTCTTAATAAAAAAAGGATCATACTATAATGTTCTATAATGTGCTTTTTACAAATAATATTCCATAAAAATATGTCTATGTTAGTAAATTTAAGTTTTTGCCAGTTTTCTATATTAAAAACAGTAGTGCAATAAATGCTTATACACTCGTGTATATTTGTGTTTAACAGATTCCAGGAAACAAAATTGCTGAGTTAAAGAGTAACACATTTAAAATTTAATAGATACTACCAAACTTACCTCAGAAGAGGCTTTGTGAACAGTATAGGAGAATGACTATTTGCTTAAATGTTCACCAACCATGGATATTATGTATATTTTTCACTTTTTGCCACTTTGATGAGCAAAAACAATAGTACACATTATTTAACTTATATTTTCCTAATTACAAATGAGACTGTGTATATGCTTCCTGGCCAGTTGTATTTCTTATCCAGTGCATTACTTATCCATCGCCATTGCCTATTTTTCTGCTTGTAACTTCCTCATTTTGATCATAAGAGTGGCTACTATATATATTGAGCACTTGGTTGTGTGCCAGCCTCTGCACTAAATGCTTTAAAATGTTTTTTTTCTTTGAACATTCTGTACATGAGAAATATGAGAAACATATGGAGATGAAATTCAAACCATGGTCTTTTTCACTGGTCTCTTTTACTCTAAAAGCTGCACTTTCTCCACTGTATCACTATACCAAAAAGCTTCATTTTGCTGAAACGCAGAAACTCCAAATGGAGTGACTTACCAAACATAGCCCCATAGCTACATGCCCATCTCAGTCCGGACCACTGGCAAGCTTTTCACCACCCTGGTCTTTCTTGAAAACTGCAAAAAGACTGTTCAGGCAAATTTATCAGACTTCACTGCCTGTAATATCTGTGTCCTTAGAGATAAGGAACCAACCCGCAGGACAAGGGTCGAAGATAAAATAGAAACTTCAAAAACATGGAGACCTTGGCCCCATTCCATCCATATCTCAGTCAAAGCAGAGGGCTGATGGCAGGACAAGCCAGCTCTAAAACTAGTGTGGTTTTCAGTCACCTCCCAGCACCCACCAGCCATGCTAATTTTTTAAAAATATATTTTTATTGATTTCAGAGAGGAAGGGGGAGGGAGAGAGAGATAGAAACATCAGTGATGAGAGGGAAACATTGATCAGCTGCCTCCTGCACGCCCCCCACTGGGGATGGAGCCCACAACCCGGGCATGAGCCCTTGACTGGAATCGAACCCGGGACCCTTCATTCAGCTCACAGGCCGACATTCTATCCACTGAACCAAGCCAGCCAGGGCTAATTTTTTTTTTTTTTTTTTTTAACACTGAGGCTGGATGAACGGTCAATCATAGGCATGAGCAGCAAACAGTTTGAAGTTCTGCTCTTTAAAAAAATCAAGATGTTTATCTTACAGCCCTTCTATTAACCCAGAATGAAAAGTGTCCTTAAGAATTTCACTTTTTTTCTCAAATGTGATTAACCTAATGAGAGGTGTAGGAAATGTAATTTTATGATTTTATTGTTCATATTAATCATAATCTTCTAAAGAAAAGGAGGGTGGAGTAAATTATGTCTGAGAAGCTGCCAAACTTCCTTCCTTCCAAAAGCATTAATTAAATACTTGTGTAATCCTATATAATAAAAGCCTAATATGCAAATTGACCAAACATCGGAACAACTGGTGGAAGGACCAGTCGCTATGATGTGCACTGACCACCAGGGGGCACATACTCAATGGAGGAGCTGCCTCCAGCCCGCAGGCCCCACGCCAGCCAAGGCAGGTGCCAGTGGGGGCCCCCCCAATTGCCCCACCGGTCGCCCCACAGACCGGCCCTGATTGCCAGCCAGGCCTAAGGACCTTACCCATGCACCAATTTTGTGCATCAGACCTCTAGTAAATTGATAACAGCTTGAAGTGGAGTATATGGAGGTGCATTAAACAAGTCTTTCTACCTTTATATAATTAAACCTTTCCAACAATAAGAAGGTGTGTGTGTTTTTAAAGATTTATGTGCCAGACACTGGAGGTCCAGCAAATTGAACATAGTTCCAATTCTTCTGAGGATCAAAAATCCCTTTCATTATTATGTCAACATGTTACAAAGCACTTTCACATGTGGTATCTGAGTCATCCTATAAACACATTATGTTTGCAAATTCAATGGAAGCCTCCTTTCATTCTTTTCTTCCTGATCTTTCTTTGTTCTCTGAGATAAATCTAACATAGGAAAGGCCCAAACTCTAACAAGTAGGATTGTGGTTGGGGGTTGGGAGAGGTGGGTGAGACCTTTATCCTATGGGTGGAATTAGTTCAGGATGCTTCAGAAATTTAAGATTCTGATAATATTATCAGAATCTTAAATACCATCTCCACCCTTTTAAACACTTAGGATGAGCCTTTCACTCACAAAATCTTCCTTTAAATTCAGGTGATTCTCTTATTTCAAGACAGTTAAACTGGTTGAAATGGGATTTGAAAACAGGTCTTAGTGCAAAAGCAGTGCAATGTTCATTTCTGGAGTGACTGTGGGAGTTTGGCTACACACACTGAGTCCCAGGCTTTCTGAGGAAGGAAAGAGCAGACATCTGACTGAGTAGAAAAATAAGAGCCAAGTACACAGAATGAACACAGTTGTCTGTATTCTCTCAGGACAAGCCATTTTGTTCCCGTGGGAGAATGCTGCAATCAGTGGACATTGTGGCTTATGGCTTCAGATACCATGGCACCCACTCAAATGAAAGCTGAACATTTCTGCACAAGAGGTTCTGGTAAATATTGGGAGAGAAACAACTGGAGAGAGAGAGAGAGAGAGAGAGAGAGAGAGAGAGAGAGAGAGAGAGAGAGAGAGAGAGAGAGAGAGAGAAAGGAAGAAGGAAGGAAGGAAGGAAGGAAGGAAGGAAGGAAGGAAGGAAGGAAGGAAGGAAGGAAGGAAGAAGAAAGAAAGAAAGAAAGAAAGAAAGAAAGAAAGAAAGAAAGAAAGAAAGAAAGAAGAAAGAAAGAAAGAAAGAAGAAAGAGAAAGAAAGGAAAAAAGATTCTATCTAGTGGTTTTCATTTCTGACAACGATTTTGTATTTAACTCTATTGCCAGCAAAACTCGTGTCACATTGGGAAGATTCCTTCTCTCTGGGCCGCAATTTTTCCTTTGTACAAATTAAAGGGTTAAAATAAATCCCATAGGTTTTAAAAACTTCATGAATAACCACATATCTCTTTGAATACCTATTCCCAAGACATAGACTTCCATTCCATAAATATTTAGTAAATACCTGCTATGAGCTAGGCACAGTGCTAGGCACTGGGAACATATAAGTGAACAAAACAAATTAAAATCCTGGGCCCAAGGACCTGACATTGAACTAGAACACTTACACAGTGCTTACCTTGGGCCAAGCAGAGGTCTGAGCACTTTACACATACCAACTCATTTAGTCCTCATAACATCTCTATGAGGTAGGTACCATTAACATTATCCCCTTTTACAAATGAAGATAGAGGTACAGAAACATGAAGGTATACTAATTAGTTACAGAGCCGAGATGTGAACCCAGGCAGGCAGTCTGACTTCAGGATCTAGGCTCTTATGTTATTCCACGGCTAACTCTGGAAAAGTCCAATGGAACTATTTTCAAAATTAATTGGTTTTGAATTTCTTGCCAAAAGATGATGACCTTATAAAGTTGGTGTAAGAGGCCAATTTCAAAACAGTATGTACTTAGAAAATTTACAAGAGAGAAACATTTTCTATTCGATATTAATAGAAAGTAAGAGACAGAAACTATCTATATATATAAAACCCTAATATGCAAATAGTCCCGATGGCTCGACAGCGGGTGCAAGTGGCAGCTGCTGGCCCCAATTGCCCCTGAGGGCTTCTCCAACTCCCTCTGCTCCTGAGGAGCAATCGGGGCTGGCAGCTGCCTCTTGCACCTGCTGCCAGCGACTGCCCCGCTTGCACCCACTGCTGGTACCAGCCTCAATCGCTCTTTGCCATCAGCGGGTGCGAGCGGGGCCAGTGCTGTCAGCACATGGGAGTGGCAGCGCAGCAGCAGCGGGAGTGGGGCTTCAGGCAGTCAGGGGACTGGGGGCCGCGGTGGGAGGGGCCAGGTAGGGGAGGATGGGCCAAGGCCCGCCCCTGTGCCCACCGCACCTTGTGGCCCACAGTTCCTTTCAAGGTGCACAAATTCATGCACTGAGCCCCTAGTTCTCTTATAAATTTTAAAATATTTTTTTAAAAAATCCTCACCCAAGGATATGTTTTTATTGATTTTAGAGAGAGAGGAAAGGAGAGAGAAACATTGATGTGAGAGAAACATTGACCAGTTGCCTCCCTTATGTGCCCCAATTGGGGATCAAACTCACAACCTAGGTATGTGTCCTGACTGGGAATTGAACCCACAACCTTTTTGTGTATGGGACAATGCTCCAACCAGTTTAGCCACCCAGCCAGAGCTGTATATGCTATAATTTAAATGACTATAGTACCAGGCCCTTGATGGGTAGCTCAGTTGGTTAGAGCACTGTCCAGATATGCCAAAGTTGTGGGTTTGATCCCTAGTTAGGGCATATATAAGAATCAACCGATGAATGCATAAATAAGTGGAACAACAAATTGATGTTTCTTTCTCTCTGCCTCTATCTGTCTCCCCCTTCCTCTCTAAAACCAATCAATCAATAAATAATTTTTAAAAATAAATGAATATAGTGCTAGCTGAGAGCTTTGAGACATTTAATTACTAAGTTTCTTATTTTTGGTTTACATATTCCTTGAAACAATATGACAATTAGGAACAATAATCCTCACATTATTTTGTAGGTGACAACCAATAATTAAAATACACTATTTGCTGATATTAACTAATGTCACTCACAGAAAAATCTGTAAGAAAGGATGGTCTAAGAATTTTTGGTCCCTGAACCTTTGGGTGCACCCTCTGGTGGTTCTGCCCAGGCTCAAGCCAAGCTCCAAGAGGCAGCCTGGGCAAATGTCCGATTGTTCTATCAGGGCTGGAAGCGCTCCTCAATAACATCTTGTCTAGGTACCTTACTTTACAATTGAGGGGGAAACTCAGGCTCAGAAGGGAAGGGAGATAATGACAGATGCAGAGCTAGAGCCCAGGCCTCCTGTTGGGATACGGTCTTATTGATTTCAGACAGAGAGAGGGAGAGGGAGAGAGAGAGAAACATCAACCAGTTGCCTTCTGTACCAGCACCCTGATCAGATGGAACCCACAACCTGGGTATGTGCCCTGACTGGGAATCAAACCCACCACCTTTTGTTGCATGGGACAACGCTCCAACCAACTGAGCCACACTGACCAGGGCACACACAGAATTTTAAAAACTGTATTCTCCTTCCTATTGCCCATTTCTCTTCATTATCTCTCCCTTGTTTTCTCTGGGAAAGCTGAGTTTGTGAGATAAGCAGGGTTATAGTCATTTAGGAGTTAAGAGGGAGTGATTTCATCTCTAGAAAACCAAGAATTCCAACTTGTGCTTCTGAATGGTCAAAATGATATCCAGGGGGGAAAATGATACCCAGAGAGTAAAGCAGTATCCCTCAGATCACATGGAAGGTAAAAGCTGGACTCTGAGCAGGCAGATAACTCCTGGAAAGGTGTCATTTTAGAGGCAGTGATGGCTCTGACTACCTACTCTACACCAAATGCTTCTTCCTACTGATTCAAGCAATAATTCCATCATCAGAGTTTCTTATGAAATGCAAATTCCCCTTGCAAAGGCTAATAAATCAATGGGCAATCTCTCCAAATGAATGGCTTTCAT